CTTCCTTCAGGCATACTTCCTGAACAGGGAAGAAGTCAAATCTTAGTATCTTTTAAAAACTCACTTGGTTTCTTCCAAAAAGGACTTTGTAGGTCAACTTTGTTTTTTAATAAAGTCTACTTGAATTTGTGGTAAGTTTCCCAAAGTCCTAATGTATTTCTAAATGTTGTCCTGCTAATGATAGCTGAGTATTTTTGGGGCTGAGATCTGAAGCTTGCTGCCAAAGGGCATGTAGAAATTTCTTTATAGTTTACTTTGGGCAGTGCTCTTTTTTTTCATTGTATCATGTACTCTGACTGAAATGTGAAATTTACAATACTATGTAAATTATGGTTCTGAATATTGAATTGGCATGAATTTTAATTTTTAATTGGAAGCAGATTATTAAAGCCTTTGATTATTTCCAGTGCTCTTTTGAAATATATTAATAAAAAATTCTGAGCTTTTTAGCTTTCCATAGTAGATTCAAATGTAATATACAAAATAGCTCTTTTAATGCAAGATGTTGCTTTCGGAGAGGGGTGTATATTCCCTAGTTATAGAATTTGACAGAACATTCAAGTCTGTATTTACTTGATAGGTTCCATTAACTTTGTGGTTTCTCCTTAGAGAGATTTTTGTGTTCTTGTCATGTGCAGCTCTCATCATGAACCCAAGTAAGTTTAAGTTTCTTATCAGTGATTAGTAAGTGGTTTTAAATAAGGTCCCTTTGAAGGCGTTATTTGACATTTGAACTCATTGCATTTGCAGTTCTTAGAGGGAATTACCTTATCATTTAAAATAGTTATTTTGATGTTTGTCTAATATTATTGCTCTATTATTTAAGTTTTATTGGTACCTTTTCCCATAGTAGCATGTTTTTGACAGGATAGAATAAAGTACATAAGGGTTTTCTATGGCCTTTTTTAAATGTTTGTTTATGGCCCTTTCATGGCTAGTTAATGTTTCATTGCCAAATCTTGTAGTTTTCTTTCTGTATCTTTTTTTCTTCCTTAGTCTTCAAAATACCTTTATAAGGAAAATTAAAATAAAACCATATTATAGAATATATCAGATTTTTCAGAGGAGAAAATGATCACATATACTAAATGTACTTTGAAATTCCAGTACAGTACATTCATTGATCAAATTTTGATCAAGTTCTCATCAGGTCTTAGAAACTTACAGGTTCTAAGATACTGTGTGTTGTTGGACTACGGGTCTTAAAATTTACCTTAAAGACTCTCCACAGTATATCTGAAGTACCGTTTATTTATCCAGAAAACATTTATTGAGCATCTCTTTTAACAAACTGAAAAACACCATGACCTCAAACACCAAAGTTTTCGTGATTGACTGGAGTATGGGAGTGGGAAGGAAGAAGATAGGGACTAATACAAATCAATAAGGCAAAAATAAAAGTGTAAAAAATGTTATGGAAACATAGAGAAAAGAACAATTAATTCTGCATAAATAACTCGGGATATTTTGCCAGAGGAGGTAACATTTGACAAGAACCTTGAAGGATAAGACTATGTTAACAGGTGAAGAAAAGAGGGGAAGAAATGCAAAGGAAATGGAACAGAATGAGTATGAAAGGTATCAGTTGATAGTTATGAAATTCATATATCTACTGCTTTTGGTCATATGATCTGTTTACCCATCATCCCCAGTATTAACTCCAAACAAATTGAAACTATTGAATTGATTTTCAATTTGCCCTATATTTATAACTTGAGAATCAGCAAAATGAATAAAAAGGAATCATCCTCATAACTTTTTACTTTCCAGTGGTGGAAATTATCCCAACTGGAATGATCACATTTGACTGATCTATGCATAATGATAAATTTAAAGGATGATTATTTCCATGCCGCGTATCTTATAAAAAATGTTGGATCACTTAGTGAAAATACTGAAATTCACAGAATAGCAGAGTTCTTGTTATGATCATGTAAATAGGAGAAACTAGGTAGAACACTCATAAAAAGACCTCAAACATAGAAAGAAATGACTATGTGTAGTTATACACACAAATAAATGAACATAGGGTAATAGGAGCCAGCTAACCTTCTTGACTCCATGTCAACTGACAACCACCACAACCTTCCTGAGTTAGGCAATACTTCTGAAAGGCAGTTTGAAGAAAGAGAAGCACATGGTTTGGAAGGATAAGGAAAATAATATCCTGGAGTCCATTCCCTTGAAATTTCTAAATTATTACTCTTATTTATTGTATCTTTATGAAATAGTTATCTTTAACAGGATAAAGCTTTGCTTCAGAAGAGAACGACACAAAAGACAAGAGAAAACCATTGCTTAAGAACACTTATGAGCTCTCCTTTGATATAGAATATATAAATACCCAGGAAAACAAACAATAATTCATACCATGTTAAAACCTGTGGTTGGGGTTGAAAAGTCAAATGACTTTATAAAAAAATAAATTATTCAGTTATATTTCCAAACTATCATTTTGGGCCAACTTCCTGTTTATGGAAAGTTCTTTAATTCTGCTGCTTAATAAATTTTATTTTTTCAATATAACACATTAGGTTGATTTGTACTTCCTTTCCAACTATTTAGGCATATCATTTTCTTATGTTTTCTGTACCTTCCTAGTTAGTGGAAACATTGTTTGTTCTTGGAGTGTGCTTTGTCTTGCTTTTCAAGAAGATCATCAAAGTTACTAGTTTGCAGCTTCCAAAGAGAAAGAGCCATTCTAATCCCTAGTTCAGAGGCTAACCTTTATTAGTGCTCTCATGGTTATAATGAGGGCCCTGCTTCCAGCAGGGAGATTCTGGAATACTGAACAGATTATTCAACAAGTTCAGAGCAGATTCTGAAGTCCCTTATAAAACCTGCTTGTGAATGCTGCTTTCTTTGCTTTGCTGTTTCTGGTTTCCATAGTATTCCTAATTACATAAATCATGTGGAGCATGGGAGCTATTTTCTATCTAATATCAATTCTGAAACTGCTTGAATTTTGGTATAATTCTTTTTTTTTTTTTCCTAAGCTGTATTTTTTCTTAAGTTCTTTAGGAGGGTAGAAACTCTGAGAAAAGTAGAATATTGTGTTAGAAGAGCTAGTAAATGCTTCTTTGGTATCCCTTGGGCTCACATAAAGAATTTGAAAGTAATGTGATAAGCATAGATGAATAAGTCTATAAGACTGGAGGATCTGATAAAAGTTTCTCAGGTTTAAATTCAAGATTAAATCTAGGAAATAAATTATTCAAGTTTATTATCTACTTTTCAATTTATTTAACTTTATTTCCATTCAACAGCTACTTACATAATGCCTTTCCATGAGTAAAAACTGCTAGGTTCAATGAGTGTACCATTGAAAAGTGTACAGATTTAAATCTAATACATAGCAATATATAATGTTGTGGAGGTAAACTAAAGGTGCTAATATTTTTTAACTAGGTTTCTTTAGGAAAAATTATAATCAAGGTTGATTTAGATCATAATACTTTGAAAGAAAGAAGACATAATTCTGAAAGTAAGTTCATTTCTCTTTTACTTGTTATTTCTGTTGTAACATATCTGATTTTACATTTTTAAAAAGTCTGAGACATTTGTTGATGGTAAAACTTATAGAAAAAAGCAATGACTCCAATAGTGTAAAAATGGAATTGCTAGGTGAATTTTAGGAATAAATTCCTCAGGTTGGGTGAATGAATTTCATGCACATAACTGAGGATAATTTCCTTTTAACTTTATTTATAGTAGTCTTAGAACATCTTAAACTCTATTTTCAGCATTCTGCCTTGTGTTGAATATATCAGACAGACTTTAAATTGTACTTTGGTAGAGAGTTGTAGAACTTAGTGCCATAAAATGCATCAACTTTTTTTCTGAGAGCAAAATTCAGCAGAATACCAGCAAAGTCCATTTGCATAATTCAGACTCTCAGCAGCTCAGCTGAACCTAATTGTAATTCAATTTCCAGATTGCTATGCTAGGCCTCCCTGCGTAAAATATGCAACATATAACATAACGAATGGCACAGACCTATTTTCTTGGTTGGTTATCTATTTAATTCCATCTCTAGTAGAAATATGTATGAGAATAAGGTATCCGAGCCATATGGTTATTTTGTACATTTATGTATGTGTCATATGTATACACCTAAGAAAAGACCAAGTTAAAAAAATATTCTTTCATTTTTTTGGGTTCCCAAGTGTATCTAAGATTTTATTTCTTTATTTCTGCCTTTTCAGAGAGAAATTAAATCTTGAAAAATGTTAGCTAGCTGCCGTTTATTTGACTATTTTACACTAGAAAGACTTTATAAGCTAATCATGTGAAAAAGTGTATAAACATGTCTGTCAAGTCCATATGGATGTTGCAGTACAGCCCCACAAGCAAATATCTTCTATCTGTTTACAAAACGCATGCTGGAATAGCATTCCTAAATCTTTGACTAGTTTATATCTCAGAAACTTAAAAATCAACAAGATACGATAAAATGATTGCTTAAATTCTCCTCATTTTTAAACAGTCTTGCCACCCTGTTTTATGGGTTACTTAAGCAATGGCAATGAAAAGCCTAGAATGGTTTAAAAAGGTATAGATTATATTTCATGAATAATTTCCAGATGTGATGTTTTAGGGATATAGGCTCCTCTACGGGAAGCTATATACAGAAACAACATGGATCTTACAATTTTATCAGGACAATGCAAGTAGATTTCAGCAAGGTTGGTTCCAACTCATCTGTGATAAATGAGAAGATAAGGCAATCAGTGCACACCATGACACTCTGTGCAGCTAGTTAGGCACACTTCAGACCTATTCAGGTGTGCTCACAAAGCTTATGAGTCTTGCATGGGGGGTGTCTCAATATAAATATAAATGGTGGCCACTAGTAATGCAGGAATTGCCTCTCTAAGACTTAACCCGGGTCAGATATAAATAATAGATGTTAAGAGTTAGCTCTGGTGTTGGGGCTGTGTACCAGGCAGTGTATTTCAGTTGGGTCAAAAGAATTTATTTTCCCTTCTTTTCTCACATAGTTCCTCTGCTTCAAAAATGCCTGCAAAATTCCATCACACATTTGCGGGGACCAGTTTGGGTCTCTAAGGGAGAAGGTTTCAGCCCTTCAGGAGTTAAGACGTACATCCAAGGAGTTCTTTTGACCTTGTACCAACGATTAAAGTCTGCAAAAAAATATTATAAACAGGTGAGTCAAGCCTCTTTAAAAACTGCTTTATTATATATTTAAAAAATGTACTAGGTTGTATAGAGGCAATGATTGGCATAGTGTCATAAGAGAACTATGACATGCATTTTGTGAGCTCAGTGCCCGTTAGGGAGCCAAAATGCTTATTCTGTAATCTCAAAGCCAACAATAATGGGCCTAATCGTATCTGTCTTTTGGTACGGTGTGTCGTATGTCTTTTCTTGCTGCATACTGTGCAAAGCGAAGGCAACTCCTTATGTGGAAATTCTATAGACAGTTACTTTAAATAAGAAAATGGATAGCTTCTAAGGCATTTGAAGGTTTAACTGTTCAGCTTTCTTTTTTTCTTTTTTTTTTAGTATGGAATTAGAATTACTATTGTAAAATTTGGGCTAAAATATAAGAAATCTTATTCTGAGACATAGAATTGTAAATTAACTCCATCTAGAATAACTTATTTTATTTATGCTTATTTAACTTGCATGTTTGAGAACCAAAAGTATAGAAATAGAATTAACGTGTCTGAATCAGGTTGAACTTGATTTTGTATTTTAACTTCTATATATCCATTCAGTAATTATATGTGTGTATGTGTAAAAGGTTTTGATATTTTTATAAATACTCATAGAGACTTTGATTTATCTTAAAGTAGAATTCAAATTCTAAAGCCAAATAATTGAAGTCATTTATAAAATAAAAATGGAGTTACTACATTTTTAAAAGCCTGTTTTCACTTAATGTTAAGAAGTTAACCATACATCTTACCATGTTAAATAAGGACTAGTTTTACATTTCGAACTGGGAGGCTCCAGTTCAGAACTGGGCTCATTATCTCAGGCCACAAGCTGTTGAAAAATGAATATTTTGAAAGCATCCTGCTATTATTCTCTGCGTGCAGGGGGAGGGGTATTGGGAATGGGATATCAGTCTCTGTGTTCACACAGCACCTCCTTCTGTCTTGTTCAGAAAAGAACAACTTGCATTGACTTTGGAGGAAAGTCTTGAACTAAGGTACCCAGAAGCTAGCAAGAAACATCTCCCTGCAGAAAAATCTTTATTCCCAAAATGTGGTTGGTTTGCCCAATTAATTAATTTCAGTGGATCCAGAAATGAGATTATTAGGTATTAGTGATAAGGCTATTTATAATAATACATATGAAAGAATAAAAAATCCAAATTTACTTTTAATGTTCTTTATTAAGCTGATATCATATATAAAAACTGGTGTAAAGTAGTTTTTCTTATACTTAAATTATTTTAACTGGACTATTCTTTCACTGATTTTAAGATGTAATGATATTATAAAATGGGTTATGACTAATTGAATCATAATCATTTATTGATTCTACTACTAAAGGTTTAAAATTATTTAATGTTAAGGAAAACATGAGATGGCACCATTCTCCAGTACAAGAAAAGCACAGTTTAAATCAAATATATATATTTTAAAAATCTTAAATATTTTCTGATTTTGTTAAAAGTAGAGCTGTTAGAAATAAGAAGCAGCTCAGAAAAGTAGTTGTGGCATGCTTTTCTTCCACTGCTGTAAACATTTAAAATTTAAAAAGCTGTGCTAAATTTGTGTATTGTGAGAAAAAAAGAAATGCTTTAAGAAGTACTTAGTGCTTTGATTTAAAAAATTTCTTTATGGCTTCAAATTGATGAAAAATTAAATAAATATTAAGTGTAAACATGAATATAAATGAACACTTATAGTGTTCCAGAATTTGTCTATTTGATCAATCAGTAAGGCTTTCAACATTATGCCAAATTTAAGGATATTTAAAAACCTAGACTCTGCCATTCCTGTCTAAACCTTTTTTCCCCACTAAATTGTAATAATTTAAAACTTCACACTCAACAATTTTAGTTTAATACTTGTTTTATATTAAAATACAAAACTGAAGAAAAAGAAATTTGCCTAATATACATTTGCACATAAATTTCTATTTCCTTTAGGCTTGCCCAATTGTATGTATTCTTGAGTTTCTTTTCTTTTGTATTGTTATACCATGACTTAATTTAAAATTATTTGGGATGCTTAAAAAAGTCACTGTAGTGGTACCATTATCAGGTCATCAATGGTTAAGTGTTAAGCCTGGCAGTAGCTTTATTTGAGAGTAGGATTTCTTAGTAAATCTCCCTCTTAGCATTAATGAACTTTATTTGAACTGCATTTACTTCCTTTGACCTTATGGATAGACTTTTCTTTTTAGTTTTACATATGATTATGTCAAGGAATCATTAGATAGGTAAAATGGAGATAGATGTGAGTTCCTATGTCCTTAACAAATTTGAGCTTATATATTAAAGGATAGTACTAACTCTTGATATCATTTCCATGTATTACACTTCTGAGTTCGCATATAAAAACAACCATATTGTTGTTTGAATTCTGTCAAAAGATTATAGTCTTTAAATTGATGCTTGAGTATTCCCAAATGAACTTTCTTTTAAATAAATTTTGATAATGTAGCTTTAAAAGAAAATGCAGAACTACTGATTTTATGTTTATGAACTTGTTCATTTTTCAGCTTTTAACTTTAGCTTGACTATTACAGCAGGCAACTGCATTAAGCACACTACATTAGGGTGGTCTTAAATATATACTGATTTGTGTGTATTAATATGAGATATTATATTTAGGACAGCATAAAGTCACTTAGTCTTACATTTATCACATTTATTTCCTTAGAAGTGAAGACATCTTAGAAATTGCTCAGGGCTAAGCAGAATTTATTTAATTGGTAATTTTTGAAATAGCGGAAACGAGTTCCTATGAAATGTAGTTAACACTTTCAGTGACGGGGTCTGTTCCATCTCATTAGCATTCTTGTTATGTAGTGGTGCTGTTGGTGGGGGTGTTGAAGTAGGAATGCCATTGTGTTGAGTTCCAGTGTTTGGGGACAAACACTGCTGTGGAAGGAACGTGTGAAAAGGCCACAGTCCTGTCAGTGAATGAGGAAGGCTGTGCTTTCTGTGTGCTTCAAGCAGGGAAGCTGTCATTCATAGGCCTAACACAGCTAAACAGAGACCAAAACACAAGCCTGCACTACCTTTTAAAATGATATTAGTGATTTTTAAACATGATCTTCTTTATTTATGATCCTACATAGAGCTTTTAGTTTCTGTCAGTAAACAAAATATATGTCAGTCTTTTCAGAAACATTGTAGAGATGCATAGAAGTCCATGGAATGGTGCCAGGCAGCTATATAAATAATGATTCGGGATGGCTGATAGGCAGTCTTAAGTACAAGCGTGATTTTACTAAACATTCATTTCTGGAAATGTCTTCCCAGTTTAGAGACTCTATTGAATTTTTTTTTTTCCCAACCAACAAAATTCCCAGAGAATTTTACGTAATGATCGCATAACACTTAAAAAAACTCAGTTTTTAAAAAAGCTTATAAACTTACAGATTTAATCATTTAAAGCTGTTCACGGTACAGCTTGTAAATTGTTATAGACTGCATAGTCATTTCTGAAATGAAGAACAAAGAAAATGAGCACTTAACTGTAATATTTGATAATCACCATCTTAATTATGAAGTCTCTGTAGTAGTTAAGACATGAAAAATGCATCTAGTGTGGATTTAAGAAATTTGAAGAAACTTTTTACCCTACTCCTGATTTTCAGCACTTTGGAAAGAAATGATCAACTTTGTGATTACTAAATTTTAGCTTATTTTATTACTTAAAAAAAGCAAACAACAACAAAAGAAATTCCTCAAATATTTCTTAAAATCTTGGGGCATATTTTAACTTTGACAATGCGTGGAGATACACTGATATTTTCTATTTATGTTTGTAGCTGCAGGGAAATGTTTTTATTTCTGTAATTTTAATTTGGAAATGTATATTTGGGTTATTTTTTAACAGATAATCACTTAATAAAATGTGTTGAAAACTGTAGTTTTCTGCCTATGTGACTTAAATTTTGGTGAGGGGGTATGTGGTCCTTTCCATTGATTAATTTAAACAAGGTGCTTTTTTGAATGCTATTATATGATTTTTTTTAAGTTCTATATTTGATGCATTAGGTTTAGAAATCTCAGCTATTGAATTGCCGTTTCAAAAATTAGGTTTTACTTTTTAGATTGGAACCATATTGTAGCTTTAGTTTGCAGGCATATTGTTAAATGAAGAATTGATGATATAATTTCAGCATATGTTGGTTTTGCAGCTTAATATTGAAATGTATTTTATTATTATACTTAACCAAACTCTCCCAAAGCACCTGGATTTTGTTAAAAAAGTTGTATAAATTAATGTTGGCTCACTTTACCCACACTTCCAAAAGGTGTGACACTTAGATATTAAACCAATAATAACAATATAATTCTATTTAAAATAGATCTAGTTCAAAATATGCTTGAATTATATTTAGTGCTGACAGACTTTTTTATTGCAAAAAGTATTTTTAAAGGAATGTTAGTTTTTAATTTCCCATAAAAGAAGGGTTGAAAGTTTGTCTTTTAGATTCTGTCTCTTAGGTCAATCAAAATCATTTATTGATCTTAACATTACTGAAGGAATAACTATTTCTATTTCATTTTATATACACCCTTCAAAAGTTGAGCTGCTTTGTTGATTTACCCTTCATGGTCAATACTCCAAATATTTCAATTTTGAACAAACTTCTTGATGTCTGTTGAAATCTTGGCACAAAATCTGTAATATATAAATAATACAACTTACTATTAAAAACCTGAAAATAATCTTCCATTAATTTTGAAATGAAAACTACTTCTGAAGTTTATGATAAGTAATTGTTTAGAATATTGGGTTGTTTGTAAATCTGAGTGATTGTTGAATTTTTTTCCTCTGAAACCAAACTGCATTCTAGTTACTTGAAGTATTTTAAGAACCTTAAACTTGTGTCTTTTTCTAAGTGTCATGCTTTGAGCAGGCCTAACATCAGTTAAATGAAGTGAAAATTGCATTCTTGTCTTGATAGAGATGAAAATGGATTTCTGGTCATGAAATAGATGTAGTTGTC